AATAGGAAGTAAAGACGAGCACGCTCATTAGGGGGCTGTAGAGACAAAACTGTCCTTAGAGAAACCACTCTGTTGCACAGATGAACTATAGTAAATTCAGATTCTAACTTTACCTGTATTCCAGGTGTTGTCACAGCTGGCCCAGGGGAGCTGGGATCTGAACGAGAACACCAGATAGAAGAGGGCCCAGACCTGGATTATAATGTAGCTAAAGTCATAAAGTTTCATCATGAAATATCCATATCCAATTCCTGAAAAACAACAAAACAAATCCTCAGTTCTTGTCTTTTGAGAGTATAATGTAAATGCAAAGTGTGACTGAGGCCTTTTCTTTTGTTAGTTTTTCATTTTAGTTCATAGAGGAAGATCCCAACAAATCCCCATTGAGCAGCACTTGGTGACAGCCAGGAGGAAAACTCCCTTTAACAGACGAAGCCTCCAACAGACCCCGGCTCTTAGATTTTAGTTGAACATACATCTCACCTTGTGCCAGTGGACACAATTTCCTCCAGCAGGTGATGAATCCTTCCTGGGTGTACTGACCACTTGCAGTCTCCAGTAGGAACAGAGGTATCCCACAAACCACAGCAAACAGACAATATGGAATCAGAAAGGCACCTGTAATAAATACACAGACAAGCATTATCATGATGGCCAAATTAAAGCACAAACTTTCACTCATCTTTCAACGAACGAACAAGCATCAGGAAGAAGCAGACAGTCCAGAACTGGGGCAAAGGCATCATAGCAGTTGCCTGAGGGTAAGCGATGAAGACCAGACCTGGTCCTGTGGTTTGAAGAGGAGAGTTGATATACTTCTTTAGTTTTGGACTCAAACATTACAGTCAACTGTGATTAGTTTGCTGTAAAGTTCCTCAGCATTGCATTTAAATTAGTATTGGTATGTACCTGATTGAACTACGGTGTCGACAGTAACACCCTGTTTCTGAGCCATAAACCCAAGTACGGAGAAGACAGCAAATCCAGCAACAAAACTGGTCCCATTGTTCAGCAGAGTCAAAAGCAGTCCCTACAGGTCCAGGTGGAGTGAAAAACTCTTGTTATGAATGTAGATAAATATAAACTACACTAAAGTATATAAAGTAATGAGTATGGATGCAAAGAATAGCCTTTTAATTTTTTTTATTCATTTAGTTGTTGCATTGAGTAATCTTTAGTCTAATATGTAAAATTTAAACTCCAACTATTTTTCAACACAGGATATATAACAAAAATAGTCTAAAATTAATCTAATAGTACACAGTTACTGTGATTTCTGAATTATACATACTTGTAACAGTTATTGTTGTAGTCGTTGTAGCTGCCCAGAACATTCAGAGTCCCGGGAATCAGGCCGTAGGAGAAAAATATTTGAGATCCTGCCTCTATCCAGACCTGTAATTTCAGAAAAACAAAATCTGATTTTTTGGTTCCAGGTTTCTTTCAGTTTATCTCCGGTTTTAAGCATTATTAACTTAATGCAGCAACTGGCCATGTGTGCAGTGCTGTGACAGTAATCAGTGTTAGAACCTAATCAAACTGCCTTTTTTCATTCTTCACACTTGTCGCAGTGTAAAATAAACAGGCTACCTTCAGCTTAGCCAGGTGTTTCAAATCTGGATACAGGTAGTAGTAAACCCCTTGCCAAGCTCCAGGTAGAGTCAATCCCCTGATGAGCAGTATCAGGATCATCATATAGGGAAATGCGGCTGTGAAATATGCTACCTAAACAGAAAAGGAAATTAATGAATATAAATATTTGGTAGGAAGCTGATGAATGTGTTCACCACAAACAGGTAAATCTTTTGACTGTTTCCACAGGACCTTTCCAGAGGCTCTGATACCTTTCCAGGTGCTGAAGTAGCAGAACACCCAGCTGACCAGAAGACACAAGGCCAGATCCCATCTCACACTGCCCAGCTCCTCAATGCCTCCAGACATGGCCAGCATCCGACGTCTGATGGGGAATATAACAGTTACACATATGATGCAAAAATGGTGGAGAGAGATGTGGGAGTTTGGAATTAGTACAGTCACAAAGTGATGTAGTCATTTCACTTCATAATTCAACATGACATTAGACCGACATGACAAACAGGCAGTTTCAAATTATTCCACATCAAGTGCTCTTGAAGATAGTACAGTTTTCTTGGCCCTCTTCTGTTCTCTATATAAATTTTATCTGTCATTCCAAATTGTAATGCTAACCTTTATGCTGATGACATCATTTTATATACCACAGGCTCACTCTAAACTTGACCACTACAAATCTTCAGTTCACCTTTACAACATTTCAGTCATATCCTCTCAAACAAAATGTATTTCATTGTCAAGGACACATTGCCATGTACAGCCTTCAGTACCTATTTACTCTCTTCAGGGTTCACAAACTGAAAGTGTTGAGTAAAATAATGGCTATATAATAGAGTAATTTTTAAGATTGACGTAGAACACCCACAAATCCTTACACTGCCAAACAGTGAAGGTCAAAATACGCAACTCTCCTTCTCTGCAAAAACTCACCCCAAGGTTCTCTCCAATTTGGCTGCGCCATCAGTGTGTGAATGCTTGTATGCATGAAAGGGTGAATGGAAAATAGTGTAAAAGCACTTTGAGTGTGCTTCACCACATAGTAAAGTGCTATACAAATATAAGACCATTTACCATTTTGTAAATATAAACAAATTCAGCGTTGTCTGATTCCCCACACATTTTCAATAGAACACAGACCTGGACTGCAGGCAGGCCAGTCAAGTAGACACACTACCTACGTACCCATGCTG